GTCAAGGTCTTCAGGAAAAGCCCTGCCTCCATGCAGAATCCAAGGTCTCACCATTTCCCATAGAAGTTACTTTCTCTGTGAAGCTCCTGACCACAGGTCTTATGACAAACACAGGCGCCATCTGCTGTCCTCTGAGGACCTGGTTAGCATGTTTCCTCTTGTCCAGGCTGTAGTGTCCACAATCCTGACTCATACATTACTTGGCATGCTTTCCCTTCCAAACTCTCACACACAGGATGGTTAAAATGCATTTTATATAAATATTATCGTTGAGGAATTATACAGGGAAGGCCCAAGTGGCCCTTGGGAATAGACAAAGGTAATTTGTTTTCATAAATAACTGTACACAATGCAGCTAAATACAGAGGGGAGGCATAGCGCCTCCTGGTGGTTACTCAAAGTGCTTCAATCAGAAAGTTCATTTTTCTCTCTTTTTAAGGGTCCAGAAAGAGAACGAGAGAGACAGAGAAAGAGAGAGAGAGAGAGAGAGAGAGAGAGAGGGAGAGAGAGAGAGAAAGAGAGAGAGGGCAAGAGAGAGACTCCAAGCAGACCACAGTGCTACTTGGTAATAGGCCAAGCGAAAGGTATGCAGGAAGAAATCAGACATGAGGCTTGGGGAAAACTGCATTTCTCCATTGTCCTGTGACCTCAGCTCAGGAGTTGAGTCCATCATTAAATTCCATGTCTGTAGCTGTAACTCCTCCTGGGCTGTCAGAGCCCCATGATCCTGTCCTTCTTCACCCCATAGGGAAAGACTGCACCAAAGATATCTTCGTGATAACGTTTCTGGCTCTATGAGAGAAAGCAGAGGCCATGGTGTCAGTTCTGTTGACCCAGCCACTTCTCAGTCACAATATCTAGGCTTGGATGAGTGCCCAGGGCTGTGCCAGATTCCTGGTGACATGGGTATTCCTGAGTCCTGTGTCCTCCCACCTACCCAGCTGCTGTCAAATCTGCCAGTATCTGCTCTGGTGTGGCCCACCTCAGCCTCTTCCCAAGCTTCAGGCATGGATGGTGTGGTCCCACAGCCTGCCTGGTGCTCACCCCACCAGAGGCCCCAGGAGGGGTTAGCTTTGAGATCAGTAATTGATGGACAGGCTGTGTGTGTTTTCTTGTCCCCCAGGCTTGAAGGCTGAACACACATTGGCATGCAAAGGCTCTGAGAAGTCTTACAGTAAAGCACCATTGCTGGTCTTTGTGGACTCTACCACTGAGCAGCACCCTAGCTCTTGTTTTCTTTTTCTTTCTAATTTTGAGATTTTTTAAAAAAGATTTTATTTGTAATTGTGTGTGTGTGTGTGTGTGTGTGCACGTGCGCAGTGCCCTTGGAAGCCAGAAGAGGGTGTTGGATCCCCTGGAGCTGGAGTTCCAGGTGGATTGTTACATGAGAATACATATTCTCAACCACTGTGCCATCATTGCTCTAGCCCCATTTTTTAGTTTTTAATATATTTATATATATTTAATTTTTAATTTAACTTGAAATTTTATATATTTATCTTTATAATAGAGATATAACATAAGCTTTTTATTTTATAAATTTATATATTTGATTTATATATATTTTTGGTCTTTTTGAGACAGGGTCTCCCTGTAGTCACAATTGACCTGGAACTATGTAGCCCAGGCTAGCCTCAGTCTCACAAAGATCTGCTTGCCTCTGGGCGAGTGCTGAAATTAAAGGCGTTTGCCATCATGCCCAGCTATATTTTTTATTTTTTTAAATTTTATATGTTTGAGTTTTTTGCCTGCATGTCATGTATGTAAATGCATCACAAGTAAGCAGTGCCCTCAGAGGCTATGAGGGTGTTTCGTCCCTTGAAACTGGAGTTACAGACAGTTGTTAGCCACTATGTGGGTGTTGGGAAACAAACATGGATCCTTTGCAGTGCTCTTAACTGCTTAGCCATCCCTCCAAACCCCTTTTTATTTTTGAGATAAGGACTCACTATATAGGCCAGGCTAGCTTGCACTTAGCACCCTCCTGCCTTAGTCTCTCAAGTGCAAGGATTTACAGGTACGCATCGCTCCTGCCCCACCAGCTAGCTCCTTGTAAGTTTAAATTTATTTATTTTGGATTTTTTTTTTTTTTTTTAGACAGGGTCTCCCTGTAGCTCCAGCTGGCCTGAAACTCACTATATAGACTAGGTTGGTCCCTTGAACTCACAGAAATCTGACTGCCTCTGCTGGGATTAAAGGTATGGGCCACCATGCCCAGCCACCTTATAACATTTTTGATGAGAGACATTTGTTAACACACTGGACACATTTTGGGAAGCACCTGTGATCTTCTTGCTGTTCATTACATAGGTCAGAACAACCCGCACCTCAGGACCTTTGTACATGCCGTTCACCATAGACTAGTCTGTGAATCTCCTTCAATATGCACAAAGCTTCTTCACCTTCTTCAGGGATTTTCTCAAATGTCACCTCCAAGTGACCTCTTCCCCAGACATCTTCATTAAAGCAACACTCCCCTCTCTGAGCAGATGCCCTGTTTAATTCTTGTCTGAAGCAGCACACATTTTACATGTTTTGTCAACTCCACCAGAATGTAAGCTCCATCTAGGTAGATTTTTTTTTTTTTTTTGAGATAGGGTTTAATGTAGTTCAGGCTGGCCCTCAAACTCACTAAGTAACTAAGGATAACCTTGAACACCTGGTCTTCTTGCACCCACCTCCCCAGTGCACCAACATACTCTAGGCAGAATTTTTAAACCTGTTTTGTTAACTGCTTTATCTCAACCACACACATAATGTATACGTGGAGCATAAGTATGAGTGTTAGGGAGAGGCTTGGGTATGGGGGGTGGGGAGAAGGGAGGGCGGGAGAGAGAGCATGTCTGGCTCTCACATTCACTCCCGTCTGTCTGCAAAAAGGGGAACAGTGGTTCCTCCCTCATAAAGCCCTTAGAAAGACAAAGTGACAATTCTTGGCAAGCACCTGGCACATGACAAGCCTTGTTACCACTGCTAAAGGGGAGTTCTTCCTGGTGGGGCCTGGATAAGCAGCCAGCAGTCCTCTGGAAATAAGTATGTGCTTTCCATGATGCAATCAGGGACAGCCTTCCCATCCCCAGTGCCCACTGCCCTGCTCTTGTACATGGAGACTTTCTGCAAGGGTGTTGGGTGGATGGGTGGGGGTGTGTGCAGAGGTTGCTGCTCGGTTCCACAGAACACACTGGCCTGACTTCTCGGCTAGCTGGTGGCAAGTGTGGCCCGACCAGTCAGCCCTAGGTTTCTGTGGTCAGAGGGTCCTGGGGTGCCCCTGGTTCTGCTGCCCTGATCCTGACTCCATGGTCTATGCCCTTGGCTTATGCCCTCCTCCCTGTTCCCACCCCAGCTCCCATACCTTGAGTTGGAAGAAATAGTCCTCAACCTGCTCCTCGCTCAAGCTCAGCCTGGCAGCTACCAGCTGCTTCAAGGTGTAGGCCACATCCTGGGCCATGCGCACATCCCCACACACGTAGAGGTGGCCCTGCTCCTCCTGGAGCACACGGAACACCTCATCAGCCAGCTGCCTCTGCAGAATGTCTTGAACGTAGACCTGAAAGCAGAGGAGATGGTGGGGTGGTGCTGCTGGGAGTGCTGTGGTGAGGCCCGATGACCATGGGGTGGGGAGGAGGGGCATTAGGAGCTTCAGGGTGAGGAGTGCCCACCAGTCAGGTCCTCAGGATAAGCAGGCGCCCAACACCCTGTCTAGTCTCGGCCAGTGAAGCTCCCTGATCTTCCTTGAATTCACCACACAAAGACATCAATCGAGCCACTGCCCCTGCCTACCTACCCCCTACAAAAGGGGACCTCCCCACTTGCATCGGTCCCAGCTCTGATTTGGGGCCAGGGTATAGGTTTCCAAGCTCCCCGTCTATACAGAAGATCCAAGAGTCAGTCTGGGACTGTGCTTTTTTTCCACATAAGATGCCCAGTGGCTCTCCCACTAGGTCTGAGGCGAGTCCATAGGGACAGGCTCATGAGATTCTGAGCTGAGTCTGTCCCAACTGCTCATGCCCAGAGGGCAGAGTGTCCTGCTGGGAGGCAGCAGTCACCTTCAGCCCTGCTGAGCTGAGCATAAAGCCAACTGGGCCACTTCTTCCTGCACAGAACCCCCTCTCTGGGCTGCTGGGGACCTGCAGCAGACTGGACTGTGGGGCTTAAGCTGCGGCGTGAGTCTTAAACCTCTCTGGCTCTTCTCTGCACAGTGCTCTTCACATCACCCTGATGGTTAACTCTGTCCTAGTTAGAGAGGAGATGACAGCTCAGGGAGGGAGGGCGGTGTGGCATAGGCAGTGACCTATGCTCCGCCTGCTTGTTGGGTGACTGCACTTACCTTGGGCTTGCCTGGAAGCCTGGAGTAGGCTGTGTGCACCTGGTGCAGCACACCCTTGCGGGCCATCTCCAGCATCTCCTCCTGATAGAGGTGGTCCTCCTCTGGGTTCCTGCACCCAAACACCAGGGTCATGCGGCCTCCCTTGAGCCCTGCAAGATCCAGAAGCCTGAAGTTATCAGGATGACCACCAGAGCGCGAACCAGTGCCCACCCCCACCTCCAGGTGCCCAATGCTAATGGGCACGTTTGTGATTTGGTATCGTCCTCATTTTGCAGACGAGGAAACTAGAAAACCGAGGCCTGAGGCATTCAGATCGTACACCTATAGTTACACAAGTCAAAGTGCAGACTCAAGATTCCATCCAGCTAATCATGACCAGAGGCTAAAGTTGTGACTCTCCATTACTGCCTTGGAGAAGCATAGGGCACCTATGTCCTGCCTCCTGACACAGGAATCTTCAACTGCACCTGTTTTGAGGGTCCTATTCTAGTTGTTTTTGCAGTAATTAGAAAATAAAGAAGGGACTATTGGAGGGCCTTGTTCAGCATCAGTTATGACTAGGCCAACACATCACTCTTACTTGTTTCATGTTTTAATTATATTTTTTTCCTATTAAAATATTAAGAGACTATAGAGTCTGTGTCTCTGGATAGGACTTCATCTTAAACCTCACCCACCCACAGCTCAGGGACCATTGCAGAAGAGGGGGCAGAAAAATTGGAAGTGCCAGGGTTGGTGCATGAACATAAGAAAACAGGTTTTCAGGCCTCTGGGAACTCACTCATATGCACTTGCAATTGTGACAGCATGCACAAGACCCATGCTGACTCAATCAGACAAAAACCCAGCATAGAACTGGGAAACACAGAATGGGCAGCAGGCCCCAACCTTAGCCAAGGAACTATTGGTAACTGATTACTTCGGAGTGAGGGAAAGTAGATCATCTTTAATGGCATGACTCTAGATAGGCTGACTAGTCTCCAGTGGATGAACCTGCACAGAGGGACATCTGGGTACAAATGCTTGACTGGATAGGCCTTAACATATATGACAGAATGTATGAAATCTGGTGCGGAGGCTATGGGGGGTGCAGAGGGGGGAGAGAGTCTAAATTTGATTAAGAGCTATTAGATGAAGTATACAAACTCACTAATATATACATTAAAATGAATAAAATCATTATAGCTGGCATGGTGGTGCACACCTAGAATCCCCGCACTCAGGAGGTAAAGGCAGAAGGATTGTTGCAAGTTCAAGGCCAGCCTTGTCTATATAGGGAGTTCTAGGTCAGACAGGGCTACATAGTGAGATTCTATCTCAAAAGAAAGAAAAAGAGAGAGAGATGGAGGTAGGGAAGGAGGAAGAAAGGAAGGAAGGAAGGGAAAAGAAAATAAAAAGAAGAAAAGGAAAAACTGTTTAACACACTGAGGGCATTCTTTCTGGAGGATATCAGAGATGATTAGAGAAAATCATCTCTCCTGACCCAGCTGCTGCGTCATTCCTTTTTCCACTGTAGCAGAAAGCAAGGTCTAAGGTGTCCAGGACACATGGACAGCCTCCTGCATGTTACTGACCATTCTAGTTAGATTTTCTATTGTGATTATCACTCTGGCCAATGGCAACTTAGAGAGGAAAGGGTTTATTTCAGCTTACAGTACAGTTCTTCAGGGGAAGCCAGGCCAGGAGCTCAAGTAGGGCAGAAGCCTGGAGGCAGGAACTGAAGCAGAGACCACGGAAGAATGCAGTTCACTAGCTTGCTTCTCTAGCCTGGGTTCAGCCTGCTTTCTCACACAACCCAGGACCACCTTCCCAGGGGTGGGCCACCCACTGTGGGATGGACCCTCCCGTGTCACTCAACAATCAAGAAAATGTCTCACAGGTCAGTATGACAGAGGAAAGTCCCCACATGAGGCTCCCTCTTGCCTGGTGTGTCAAACTGACAACTGAAGCTATCCATGCACTGACTGTTCCCAACTTCATGCTGAAGGTCAAACTAACAGTTCTGCAAAAGCCTCATTTGGAAAGTTCTAGATATAAAAAGAGCCTTTCTTCTGGGATATTTCTCAAGTGAAAGGGAGTGTCTTGATCTAAAATTTATGACTGCCATCTCTCACTTTGAGGACCTCTACGCAGGCTGACTCTATGGGTCATGTCACAGCTGATACCAACAGTGATACTAGCATTAAAAATATGCAAAATGGGTCAGTGAGATGCTCAGTGGGCTGAGGTACTTGCCACCAAGCCTAATGACTAGAGTTCAATCCCTGGGACCCACATGGTAGAAGGAGAAGAGCAAGCTGTCCTCTGATCTCCACACATGTACCGTGGCATGTGAAACATCCCCCCGCAATAAATTTTAAAACAACAAAGAGATGTGGAGACACAATGTGGACAAGGTGCGATCCCTCCCCACCAAAATCTTTGTACCTATTTTTGGGGTACAGTGTGATAGTTTGATATGCATGTGCCATGTATAATAATCAGATCAGGGCAAATAGTATGCTCCCTCCATATCAAGAGCTGTACCTTTGTGCTGGGAGTCATGGAGCCGCTGCTGCCAGAAACTGCGGAAGGGCGCAATGCCTGTACCAGGCCCGATGAGGATGCAAGGCTGGGAGGGGTTCTCGGGAAGCTGGAAGCCACTGACACTGTAGGAAGACAGAAGGAGGGAGGCCCTAGTCCTTCTGAGGACTAGAAGCACACACAGGACAGAAGCTGGGGGACTGGGTGCCTCGCAGGGTGGATAGTATCGGGGATTGGGGGAGAACATTGATTCCCAAGTCCTGTGCATAGCTTCATCCACCATGCCCAGGCATGCCTTTGGTGAAAGACTCTCACTGTACTCTGGGCCCCACCATAGTCATCACCATCACCTTCACCACAGACTCCACTATCCCTTGCAGCAAGGTGGTAAAATGAAGGGACTCATTATGGCCAAGGGCTCAGAGGGATACCCTGTCTCGGATCCCTCCCTTGCATCCCAGAACCCCCAAAGGGGTCTGAGAGGATGCTCACCTTCGCACAAAGCAGGGCACTGGGTCCTGAGGCTTCAGGCTGCTGATCCAAGTACTGCAGACACCATGGTGCAGGGGACCCTGGCCATCTGCAAGGATAGCACAGATCTGACCAACATCCCCCATGGCCTGCATGCAACCTGGCTGGGTGCCCCTCCTGCACTGATAGGCCTAGCTCCTGAATGAGGGGCTGATTTTTTGGGAAGCTGGGATCTGCTGTCTATACACATAAAGTAGGAAAGGCTGAAAGGGGCCTAGTGAGCTGGCGATCCCTCCACCACCAAGAAACCAAATCACAGAGGGGGAGGGGGTTAAGCAGACACTGACGTCATGGTTGACTTGGGCCCACTGCTCAGGTTCCCTCTTTCTTTCTTTCTTTCTTTCTTTCTTTCTTTCTTTAATTCTTTCTTTTTTTTTTTTCTTCTTTTTGCAACAGGGTCTCCCTATAGCCCCAGCTGGCCTGGAACTTGCTATGTAGTCCAGGCTGGCCTCAAACTAACAGAATCATCTGCAACTGCCTCCCATGTGCTGGGACTAAAGGCTAGCCCCTTCTCTAGGGATCCTCCCAGCTCCCCTGGGGCTCTGCTTACAGCACTGGGAAGTGACCCCAAGGCTTGCTATGCTGAGTGCCTTCAAGAAGAAGGCCCTTACTGGGAGGAGCCCTGGGTGAAGGATGATGGCCTTCTACCTCCTGCCTGTTCTGGTCTTCTCCAAGAGTCCTTCCTGGGCTTGTGGACACCCCAGTTTTCTCTGAACCCAGAAAAGGGTTACATTCCCTTCTCCATGACCCAGCATGTGATGGAGGCCTCCAGCAATTTGAGTATCTTTGTGTCTGTTCCACATAAGTTTGCCCTCACAATCCATGCCTGCCTCTTCCCTCCTGTCCAGGGGTGTGACATGAATGGTGAGGGTGGGCAGACAGTCTGCTGAGGCTTTGGAAATTGTTCTTTGATGAGGACAGAGGGCTATGAGGTATGGACAGCTCCCAGCCTTGTCAGCTCAGACGGTTGTTACAGAGGTCAGAGCAGGAGACCGAGTTCATCCAGCGGACGAGCCAAGGCCAAGGCAACAGAACACTGAACGTCCTAGTGTGTGGTGGCCTCACTCTTAGCTTGCTCCCTCACAGTACTGGGGCTTCCCTCTTGGGCCTTCACACAGCCATAAGCTCTGTTTCCACACTTGCACTCTTCACTGGCCCTCTGGCTGCTCTGATGGCAAGGGCTGCCTGCAGCATTTCCATGCCCAGCATGGCACCCAGCATGGAGGTAGGACACGGCCGTCATTGAATGAGTACAGAGAGGGAACGAACAATCCACGCTGAAGTGCCCTGCACCCAGCTGTGCCATCAGGACGACTAGGAATCACTGGCGGGCCATGTTCGTGGCTCTTCACGTTTGAGCCTTATTCAACAGTTATAGATGATAACAGTGGTCCAGTATGTGGCCTCAATAGTTAAACTCCCTAGCTTTGACTCTCAACACTCTGTCTACTAACAGTGGGACTCTGAACAAGTGGCTTAGCCTCTCTATGCCTCCTTTCTTCCCCTGTAAAATGCATACCGAACCCATCTCTTTGTTAATGGATTGATAAACAAAGGAGTGAGCTTCGTGCCTTCTTCATGACAGTGGGTTCTACACAGCTCCTCATGTGACTGACAACTCTGGCAGGTGGCTGCCTCTACCTCAAGAAGACCAAAGCTCAGAGTTACTGAACAGCTATCTTAGCAGTAGCAGAGGCGGATGATGACACCAGTCTGTCCCCTCCTCTCACCTCGAGTGTGGTAGGTGACCACTGCCACGGTGAGGTGGATCTCGGTGGGCATGTGGTCCCGAGAGGAGCTGATGGAATAGTAGCGGGGCTTCAGGATGGGAAGCTGGGACAGCAGGAAGGCAGCGGGCACCTGCAGTGATGGGAACTCTTCCAGCACCTCCAGGAATGTGGGGCTGTTGGAGAACTTCCACTTGTTGTACTCTGAGGGCTGAAAGCCAAGGGCAGCGTGAGCATTCGGGAAAAGGACTTCTCAAGCCAGCACCAAACTCAGCCAAGGGCCAGGTGCTGTCCAGGGTGCTGAGGTTACTACATTGGCGGGGAAACAAGGAACTAAGGGCAGCCAGTAGCAGTCGTGTATAGAAAGCTAATATTGGAGCCTGTGTGGTGCTACTTGAGAGGCTGAGGAAGGAGGATTACAAGTTCAAGGCCTGTCGGGCTACAGAGCAAATTGAGAGCTAGCCTGGATAATTCAGCGAGATCCTTTCTCAAAATTAAAAGTGAAAGGCGAGATGGTAGTTTGCCTCAGTGGGAGCACTTGCCTGGCATGTGTGAGGGTGCAAGTCTGATCCCCAGTATCCACAAAACTAAACAAAGCACTGGAGAGAAGGCTCACTGGTTAAGAGCACCTGCTGCTCTTGCAGGGGACCTGGGTTCTCAGCACCCACATGGCAGCTAACAATCATCATTACTTCCAGTGCCAGGGATCAGATACCTTCTTCTGACCCCCAAGGGGACTGTACACATGTGGTACACTTACACATACATTCATACACATAAAATAAATATCCTTCCTAGCTTAACCTTAATCCTTGTGGAGTGAGGCTGACACTGCTTTTCACACAGGGATGTTGAGAACTAAGTAAGAAATGTGTGTCAAGTTAACACAGCACATGTGTAGAGTCACAGCACTGAGGGGACTGGATGAAGATGGACAGCAAGCCTCACACTGGTAATAATGCTGTCCAGTGCCCCCTCCAAAGATGTGGGCACAGAAGTTGCACCGAGTTAGTACATTCTCCCACTGACGCATTAACTCAGCTACTCATCTGTCATTACATCCATTTGCTGACTATCCATCTTCCAGCATTCTAAAGATTCAAGTTTGTTCCAGGTTTGGGAAGACAAAGGCGGGCAAGACAAGTAGGCTGCCTGATGGCTAGGTGATGGTTCATCCTTACCATCCACTTGACTGGATTTAGAATCACCACAGAAACACACCTCTGGGTATGTCTGTAGGGGGTTTCCAGAGGTTTAACTGAGGTGGGAAGACCCATCCCAAATGTGGCTAACACTATTCCATGGGCTAGGGTCCCAGACTGAACAAAAAAGAGAAAGGGCCAGGCATGGTGGTGCATGCCTTTAATCCCACACTTGGGAGGCAGAAACAGGTGGATCTCTGTGAGATCAAGGTCAACTTGGTGAACATAGAGAGTTCCAGGCCCGCTGGGACTACAGGAAGACCCTGTCTCAAAAACATCAAAACAAACAGGAGAAAGGGATTGAAGCATCCATCTCTCCCTGCTTCTTCACCACAGATGCTGTGACCAGTCATTTCACACTCCTGTTGTCATGACTCCCTGACCATGACGGACTGTATCCTCAAACTATGAGGCAAAATAAACCCTTTCTTCCTTAAGTTGCTTCTGTGAGGAATGTTGACACAGCAATGAGACAAGTAACTAATACATGTTGCACCCTAATGACTCAGAGAAATTCATTCACTCAACTCAGTCGTGTCCTGGAGATAGAGCAACAGATGATGCCTGGCCCACACCAGCTGTGGATAAGTCATATTTCAGGGCTTAGAAGGGTTTGCTCAGAGCTCTGGGCTCTGGCTTCCTCCACTTTGGGAACTGCCCCAGCCTCATTCAGCAGCCTGACCCTCACCTGACACAGGGCCTCCAGCTTCTGTCTCTCAGCCTCCTCTGTGGCCAACCGGGCCAGCTTATGGAGTTGCAGCTGGGTGGGAGGAGTGGTGATGTCCAGGAAGTAGGTGAGGGCCTGAATGAGTGAGCATGGGGGCAGCCTCTTGTCCCTGATCCAGTAGCTGCCTGAAGACAGAAGGAAGGAAGGTGTCAGGATGGAACAAGGCCCTATTTGGGTTTCTCAGAAGATTCCTCTTTCCTCCAGATGCAAGGAAGGGAAGATGTTGACATCTTGACTCCAGGAAGAACAAAGATCAGGAAGATGGTACTGAGACAGGGCTGTCAGTGAAGACTGACCAACAGCCCCCAAATAGGCCCTCATATTGACACAGTCCTGACAAACTAACCACATCCCTCTGTGGCCCATACTTGTGCCTCGGTCACCCACAAGTGAACTACAAATTTTCAGTGACTAATCCACTAGAGATTTATGTACACCTGGAGATCAGTAGTTCATTTGGAGAAAGGCTTATGACCACAGCCCCTTTGGGCACTAAACCAAGAAGCTCTGGATGAGAAGATCAGAGCAAAGCAAGATGGCCAGGCTCCAGGAGTCCCAGGAGAAAGCATGCAGGACAGTCACAGCACAACCCAGGGGCCAGCAGACCTGTGTTCAGTGTCTGTGCTCCCACTTCCGAGCTGGACGCCCGAACACTGTGACTTCTAGTTACTTCCCTGAAAAATGGATATGATGACAAAAGCCATCTCGCTGGGCTGGCATGGGCAGTAAGAGGAATGATACTTGTGATATCCTTGGCACAGTGCCTGGTACACAAGTGTTTAATGTGCATTAACATATTATCTTTATCCCCCTCCCACTTCCTTCTGGAGACAAGGGCATTATTATTATTAATGGAGCCCATATGGACCACATTTTCCTCCCTATAGCTCTGGCCTCTTGTCTATAAGCTTTAGGCTCTTTCACTTTGCCCTGGACAGCGGGAGGCACTGCCAGGCTTTGCTTCTCTTATGCTTCCTCTGAGTTTAGGGGATATACTCTTGGAGGCGTTATTGAATGGCTGCAGTCAGGAGCTGGGGTTGGGGTAGCACAGGGCAGGCTCAGGCCAAGGGCTCAGAGATAGGAGTGAGGGGATGAGGATGCTCCAAGTCCAGGACTCACCACTCTCATCTAGCAACTCCAGGCACACAGTTTGGTGAGGCTCAGGACAATTTACTACTCGCTCCAAGATTCCCTGAACCAGGGCTGTCTGGTTGCTTGGGAAAACCCCGAGATGCTCCCCAGGCAGGTGGCTCAAGCCTTGGCAATCTTCACAGGAGAGCTGGACCAGGAGGGTAGTACGGCTGTGGAAGGAAAAAGGAGCCCTGGTGACTGACTGCCAGGATTTCCTCCAAGTTCCTGAACGGGCAGATCTGCTTCCCTAGGACAGGTGCCCTTCCTGCCTACCACCTCCAGCCTTGGTCACCAGCCCAAGTTTATGACAAGACATGCCCTCAGTTGGGGACCCTTAAAGTCCTAGAGCTTCCCAGAGGGTGGGCCACATGCAGCCCTCCCTGGAAGTGATCCAAGGCCCAAGGACTTGACTACAGCTGTGCCTCAGGGTATGTGGGCATCAGAAGTAGGCTTTCCTCATGTCTACACAAATCTTCTTCTCATTAGAACAAAGGCCAGCTTCCGTGATGTTTGGGGGTGAGGGAGAGGAAGGACAGCTGATAAAATCTACAGATCACCCACAACCCTGCCTGGCTGGGAAATTTCCATTCCTGCCAAAAGTTCGAATGAAAGCTCTGACAGCTTAAACGGTTTGAGTCTCCCTTGGTCACGCCTTTCAAAGAGCAAGTGAGGCAGGCACCTAGTTCTCAAGCTGGACAACTGATGCCCAGACTGTGCAACAACACAGATGCCACCAGTAAGCAGCTGAGCTGGTCCCAGTGTTGGTATCAGCCGTGGACACGTCTCTCCTCCCCCTGCACAGACTAATTCACTCAGGCCTTTCATTCATTCAAACATAATCCTGGCACAGCAGCCAAGCATCTCTGCACATCGTTACCTGGACTTTGAACTCTGCAGATTCTGTTGGGATTTCAGCCTCATGGTGAACACATTCTTGGTGTGCATGCTGCTGAGGGCTGAGGAGATAAAGAAGAGATAGGGATGGCACAGGGCCCCTGTGTTGCAGTGGGGGAAGCATAGGGTCGATTGTCCCTAAACACCACTCCTGCATGCCCCATTGCAGGACCTGTTGGATTTTCCTTCCCCACTATTTCTGAATCATAAGTAAAGACTGTGGGCCTCGCTGGGTATGGTGGCACAAGCCTGTAATCCTGGTACTTGGGAAGTGGAGGCAGAAAGATCAGGAGTTCAAGGTCATTCTTGACCATATAAGTTTGAGACCAGCTTAGGCTACATGAGCACCTACGTCAACCTCCAACCTCTGAATAGGAAAAAAAAAGTAACAAAAAAAACAACCAAAAGGACCCTGGGCTTAATGAACGGTGGCTGAGAAGTACCGGGAAATTCAGTTTAGACGCTAAAATACAGCAAGTCCATGACTTAGGGACTTGGGAGTCACAGGAGAAAAGAGATAAGGCTGGAAGTGTCCTAACATGAAGAACCCTTCAGGACTTCTGGACCCAGGGGACTGGGTGTGACACCCAGGGCAGGCAGAGCCAAGCCACTGACTGTAGCCTGGAATCTCCCAGGAAGCCTTCCTGACAGCACTCGGCTGCCTTCAGAAGGTCAAGCCCAGCTCCCACGTTGGCCTTGTGCTACAACTTGCTTCATGTACTTGAATTTCAACTTCTCTGTCTATACCTTTGTTACAGGCCAATCACCATGGTTCGCTGAGTTCCTGTGAGCCAAGAGGCTGGCACAGGGCCTAGCAGAGTCAGCACTCTACTGATACTGGCTCCCTGCTCTTGCCAACACTCTTGTGGGGTTTCCTCCTGACACAGTCTCCCTCAGAGCCTGCAGCTCTGTACCAGCATGGAGACAGATTCCTTACAGCCCCAGCCAACTGCCTCTTTGCAGTAGGCCCTAGTGGATTCCTTGGCTATTGGTTCAGGGTTCAGAGACCCTTAACCCAGGCAGGAAGGACAAACAGACCGTGTGGTACAGAGAGACTGGTACCTTTGTTGAGGTCTAAAGACTCTGAGCTCTGTGTGAGCCTGTAGTTCTGTGGCTCCCAGATCACGTTGGAAGTGTAGCGTTTGGGGATCTGAATGTGGTGTTTGCTTCGAACGTCAAATGCCTCACAGGCTGCCTAGAAGGTGAGGGAGAATAACATCCATGATCAACATCATCATTTTTATCATCTTCATGAACATCAACATCACCACCACGACCATTGGGGCTACCAAATAGAAGGCCTTCACCATGGGTTCAATAGTGAGCTGCATGAATCATATAATGCCCCATGTGTCACCTAATGGGTGAAGCTAGAGTTCAAAAGTGCCCAGGCATGGCACATAGTAGTTATTGCTATTATTATGAATATTCAAGCTGAAATCACATATTTATTTTCTTATCCACAAAGCAAGGGAGATTTGGAGGCTTCCCTTTTTGACAGAAACATCACATGAATGAGGCCCAGACTTTAGAACCAAGTCTGCTAGGCCTTGAGCTGTTGCTCTTTTGCTTCAGTGCTAAGTTCCATACATCAGCTGGGCTGAGCCCCAGCAGCAGAGACTCAGCCATGTGGGCCCTTTTCCATCTCTGCAGGCTGGAAATCTGAGGCAAGACAGCATTGTTATGTGGTGACTGAGGCTATGAGTAGGGAAAAAACCTTAAGGGAGAAGCTCCAGACAGGGAACTAACTCAGTCATCGTCTCCCACCCAGAAGAGCACATCAGGTGGAGCTCTTCTTGGTGGAGGGCCAGATGGGGAGAGCAGCTTTGAGCTGAGCCCTCAGCCTGAAGGCTTGGCCTACCCAACACAACAGGCACAGATGGCATGAACTATCTGGCTGAGAACTGACCTTGAAGGTTTGTACAGCCCAGCTGCGGAAGGCATCTTCCTGCCCAGTGAGCTCGTCCCCTTCCCCTGTTGGGGCAAGCTGAGAGGCTCCCAAGTGGGACAGTTTCTGGTCGATGTCATGAGCAAAGGCACAGAACTGAGGGTACATGCTAGAGCCAAGGCCAAACACGGCATACCTGCCAAGGAGAACACACATATGGAGACTCAGGATGCATGCCAGCAGTACCCACAGTCTATAAGGTCAGCCTCACACTCCCATGCCCACCGGGTCATACCCCCACCTGACCCTCCTTGGTCCTGTGACCAATGCATGTTTGGTCTACAGACCTATGAAAGGGACTTATATCTTGACCCTCAACTCGATCAGGACAAATCTGAGACCAGGGCTCTGTCTGCCCTGGACATCTCTGAGAAGACACCCTGTGCACACCCCATTCCATGCTCTGATCCCAGACTGGGCCCAGGAACAGAGCTGTGACAGGGAGCCTCACCTGAAGATGTGGGTGAGCTCTTTCAGCATGAACAGAGATTTCTTCAGAGTCTAGAAAGACAGGGAACCAGAGTCCTCAAGCCAGGATCCATAAAACTGCTGCTTTCCTTTCCTAGGGTGGCCCACTTAAACCCTAAACACGCGGAGCAAGCAAAGACTCCGGATCCACAGGGGAAGTCACTGAGCAAGTTCAGCTTACCCCTCACCCCAGCTGAACCAACCCTTGTGGGCTTTGCTCCTCACCAGGGACCCAGAAGAGCCTGGTACCCCCATCTAGAGCTGCCAGAGCAGGACCTGTCTTACAGCAAGGCTTCCCCAGAGGGTACCTCAAAAGGAATATGAACCCAACTTCTCATTTGGAACTAAGTAGGAACAAATATCCTCTAAAATAACCTTGATTTCTAGGAAGTGTGGGACCATTACACTGTGGGAAGCTACCACTTTGCCTGGTAATTTACTCTCTAGCTGTTTCCGTTTCATTGTTCTGGACACTAGAGAGACAGACTCACATTGGTGCTAATGAGCCTTAACATCTCACCCATACTTGTCCTATTACTCTGCTTAAAAAACAAGACACAGAAGGACTGGGGTAGGCCTGCCAGACAAAATTCGTACTTTTGGCAGTCTTTCTCTTTGTGAGAATGAAGTAAATGTCCTTTAAATATAATATTTTCTTAAAGATTTATTTTATTATTTATTTATTTGTGTGTGTGTGTGTGTGTGTGTGTGTGTGCGTGTACCATGTATGTGTGGTGCCCATGGAAGCCAGAGCGGATATTGGATCCCCTCGAGGTTGTGAGCCATCTGGTGTAAGTGCTGAGAACTTATTGCAGTCCTCTGCAAGAACAGCAAGCATTCTTAACTGTGGACCATCTCTCTGGCCCCTAAATATGAATTCCTGTTGAACTTTGAGACAAGGTCTCCTATGGAGTTCAGGCTGGGCTCAAATTTGTGATCCTCCTGCCTCCACCTCATAAGTGCTGAGATCACAAGTGTGCACCACCATGCCCAGCTAAATAAGAATTTTTTTATTTAAAAAAAAGGTAGGTTGGAGCCAGCCTGATGGATCAGCAGGTAAAGGCATATTTGTTACCAAGCCTGAAGACCTGAATTTGATCTCAGGAAACCGCATTATGGCAGGAGAGAGTCAACTCCTAAAAGTTGTCCTCTGACCCCGACATGTGTTATGATGCTCGAGCCCTGCCCCCCAAATAAAAAAAATAAATAAATATAATAAAGTTAGTCCCCTTAAATAATCTAAAAATAAGTAAGTAAATGTAGATCAATTCACAAGAAAGCACTGCATGCCACATAAAGTACCCAGAGTGGCCAGAAGACTTATTCTAATGCCTTCTTCAGGTGACATTGGATCCCCTGAGAACTTTCCTTGGTTCCCTCAAGCCCCTTTGCACCCCAGATGACCAGGACCTTGGGTCACCCACCTGTCCGTTGCCAGGGCAGTCTCCATTCCCAAATGTGCTGGTCACCACCAGCAGTAGCTGCTCATCTTTCAAGTTGCTCAGCTTGTACTTGTTCATGCAGACAACCTGCATGGCACACGGTGCACATCAGCCCTCAGATCCCGGAGGTGAGGGGGCTCTGCACTCTTCCTAGACCCCCTCAAGCTGAGTGTTTACCTTGGAGTTGAAGGCATAGCTGAACAAGGCTGCCAAGTCCTGGGCCAGTACTTCTGATTTCCCTGTCTCAGTTGCAAAGAGGATTGTGACTCTGACTCGGGATGCCATGACCTTGTGCATTAGCACAGAAGCAAAGAGCACCGCTCTGTGAGGAAAGACACAGACAGATGCTGTGTGTTGAGTCAGAAGAGAGTGGGATGGGGGCTGCACTTCCCCTTTGGGAAGAGGAGATGAGGAAGTTTGGGGCAACAGTAGCAAGTGGCGCTCAGAATTGGTCTCTAGAATCTGGGAGCCAAACTCCACAAAGAATATTCTCTGTGAATCCTGCCCTTCAAAACAGGGATGGGGAGGCCGGCTCGGTAGAAAGAAGATAGCACAGACAGTGCTGCTGCCCACCCCTACGTACTTTACCAAGACTTTGAACCGGATCTCTCTCTTCCTGGGTCTCAGCTCCCCATCCTGCCAGATGTGGGTCTTCCAGGGCTCTATCTGCAGAAAAGAACAGAAGTTGAGGGCAGGGTCCTGGCTGGGCTTGGCTGAGGATGCTGGCAGAGGACTCTCTCTAGCACTCATGGAAGCCCACTCTACCCACATCACCAAATCTCACTTAACAAGAGTATTCTGGAAGGTGGAGGCTCCAGTTGCTTTTAGTATCTTTGTACTAGATATACTACATAGTGTACAGTCCAAGCTGGGGCATCTTTGAGAGGACAAGGTGGCACTCAGACAGCATACACTATCCAAGGAAGACCACACTGCACAGTCGCCATATATGAGCTACAAAATGAGAGGGTGGGGAGGCACCTCCCTGACCTGATAATAGTAGAACGGAGATAAGATGTAGTTCAGCATCTCCTGGTGAAACACTGGGGTGATGCTCCCAGACATCGGAGGGACCAGCCAGATCCAGTCGGCGGGGCAGCCCCCTCGGGCCCTGTGCTCATTCTGCATGTGCTTTATGAAGGACTCTGTGGCTGTGTGGTGGTCCATGATGGTCACATTTTGCTTCTGAAACGAGAAGGAAGGACAGGCTGAGGTAAAGGCAGAAAGGAGTGGCTTCAGGGGTGCTGAGGGAGCACCGGAAGGCCCGTGGTCTGTGTGATGCTCAGCCACTGCTCTGGGTCCTCATGGCCTGCTGCAGAAACACACACAAGTGAAAGACGCCAGCCTCTCAGGGGCCCTGGGCATCACCATAACCACTCACAGCCAGTCAGCCCTCGGTCACATGGTGGTCTCCCCTCAAACCTAGCAGGGGCAGCATCCAGCACCTCATGAGCACACATCTCCCTACATTCCAAGCAAACAGCAAGTGCTGGGTGTGGGTTATTCAAACAACAGTACGTTGTTACAGGCAAAGAAAATGTCACCCCAGGTGGGGCTCACTTGGTAGAGTACTTGCCTAGCATACATAAAACACTGTAGTACCTCACAAACTGAGTGTGGTGGTACATGCCTATCCCAACACTGTGGAGGTGGAGGCAGCAGATCATGAGTTGAGGTCACCCTCAGCCGTGTTTAGGGAGTTCCAGGCTATCCTAGGCTGGAACAAAAATAAACAAACAAAAAACAACCCCAGCCATTTGCTAGCAGAGTTCCAGGAATCACTGCCCTACTTTCTTGGCTAAGAAGCAACCAGATGCTTCTATGAAAGGGGCTGGAGAGCTGGGGGAACTGGAGGATGGGGAAAAGCAAGTCATCTACATCTTAAAATTAGATGCCATGAGGTTTAAACCAGCCTGGAATGATCCAGCAATAGCAGCTGCAACCCTCAAGGTCTGAAGTGGTCCATTCAATCAAGAGAAATTTCCTTAGGACTGGCTAAATAGCCCAGCAGATAAGGGCACCTGTCACCAAGTCTGATGACTTGGGTTCCATCCCTGGAACCCACATGATGGAAGGAGAGACTTCCAAAAGTTGTCCTCTGACCTTCATATGTGTTGTGGCACACACACATACCCATACACCATACATACATAAATGCAATAAAGATCTATTGTAAGGGCTGGTGAGATAGCTCAGTAGGTAAAAGTGTTTGCTGTCAAGCCTTAAGATCTGACTTTGATCCCTGGACCCCACATGGTGAGAGGAGAACTGACTCCTGAAAGTTGTCCTCTGACCTCTGTACTTGCAAAGGCTGAGAGAAGATGTCCCTCCTGAAAGTTATCTTCTCTCCTCTCTAACACAACTGTACCCACACACACACACACACACACACACAAACACACACACACACACAAATAAAAATGCAAAAAATTAACTAAAAAAAAAAGAGACACTTGTTTAACATTGCAGTTTAAATTTCCCTCTGATTGGCTATGTGACTTAACTGACTAGTCTGAGTTTCCTCATCTGTGAAACAGAATGGCAACAACTGCTACATCAGTTCCTATATCATGAGGCTGTTGTATTGGCTTAATAAACACTAACAGTACAAAGCATCATACAGGCTCCTCAATGTTAATGGCTCCTGTCCATCTTCCAGGCACTGCAAAAGGCCATGGGGCAAAGGAAAGATGGCCCCTCTAGGAGAGGCAGAAGGATTTCCATGAAACCTGGTGGGAGCCGTGATGAAAGCAAGCAAAGACGGCTTGGAAGGGGCAGAGGGGAAGGCCTAAGGTCAAGGAGAGGCCTGTAATCCCAGCTACTCTGGAGGCTAGCCTGGGTAACTTAGTGAGTCCTGGTCTCAAAATAAAAAGTAAAAAGGGGATTGGAGATATAGCAAGATCCTAGCTTCACACTCCAGTCCTGCAAAAACAAACAAGCACCCCAGAACAGTTGCTCTGATTTCATATTGCCTTTGAACTTTTTTAAGTCAAAAATTCCTAAACTGAACCATCATAGATGGGAACTGTCCATGTACCCATATTTCAACTCCTAGATCCCTGAACATGTTTATTAAGCTGAGGAGCTGATGGTGACAGCTGTGACAATAGAAAATATCACTGATACATGCCGAGTGCCCACTATGGACCAAGGGAGCAGCCAAACATTTTGCATGAATTGCGATTTATTTCTGACAATTGGAGGATGCCTGTTTTGCTCTTTGAGAAAGAACTACATAGCCCAGTCTGGCCTCGACCTCACTGTCCTTCTGCCTCAGCCTCCTGAATGCTGGGATTATAGGTATGCTCCTATATCACACCCGACAACTATCCCCACGTTTCAAGCAAACGAGGCCATGTCTTTTGAAGGTTATCCTGGAAGAAGGTGACTCAGGCAGTGGAGGGACACTGCCAAGGGATGGCCTAGGCTCTGTGGATTTTCTGAGATACATCATGTCCTGCTAGGGTCCAGGTTAGTGCTAGGAGTCCTTGGGAGTCAGGATGTGTGATCCAGGGCTGGCCTTTCCTGAGTTGGGCCAGCAGGGGTGGAGGGGCTCTTCCTGCTTTTTTGTTAGCTCAGAATCCCCTACTCAAATGACCACAGGTTGGATCTGTCAGGGTGCAACCCAGCCCAGGGGAACAGTATGTGACCCTATAGCTTTTGTTAGTCACCCCCATTCTAGTGCCCAGCGTGGTGTAAATGTTCACTAAAGCTATCCTGACTCTATGGCCTGTGGCACCTGCCAGAATGTGGAGATGGTCCCAGCTTCTAAATATCTTTATACATCTGGGGCCTCCATCCCCAAAAGAAGGGAAGTGTAGGAATGCCCTGAGCAGGGTCAGCAGAATAGCAGGCTCAGTCTCACACAGTAATCAACCTGTTGTGTGTGGGTACAAGAGATAGATGCCACCACTCAGCACAGGAAGGCATGAGCGGCCCATGGTCATGTGGGTGGAAACTTGATCCATTTGTCTACTTGGTGTGAAACTTTCCAGCATCTGCCATGGGCCAGACTAGAGTTGGAGCAGTGAACTTGAGTCAAGATCCCGGCCCCATGGAGTCCTATAGAGCTCACATTCCAATGGGGGAATTAAACAATGACAAAAGTCAACCTACAACCTAATGCAAGAAACTACATGGTGGTGTAGAAGCCTTGCTTTCTGAGGATGGTCAGAGAGAGTTTCTTTAAGGAAATGGGTGATTGAAACCTACAAGAAGGGAAGGAGCTAGCCATGGAACGACTTACAGGAAGAATATTCTAGGCAGAAGGAAAATTAAGAGGGCCAGCGAGGTGGCTCAGGGGACAAAGGTGCTTGCTGCCAAGCCTGACTACCTGAGTTTGAGTCCCAGGGCCAATAGGGTAGAAGGAGAGAAGATTCCAGCTAGTTGTCCTTGGAACCTTCACACATGCACTGGGTGGCATGTGCTTGCCCACACACAAACACAACAAAGTATAATAAAAAAAAAATTTAAAAAAGACTTTTTTTTAAAGAAAAAAGAAGTGCAAAGGTCCTGTATTAGGATCCTCTGCTAAGTTCGCAAACCTGCAAGAATTTCAGGATGACCAGGAACAGTGGGAGACAGAAGCCGGATGAGGAGTACGAGGAAGTGTGAGGGGATGAGCCCACACACAGGCTATAATTAGAAGCAGGAAAATGAGAGGGAGCCTGGGGGCTTGGCAGGAGCTGGTGGCTAATTGTTCATTGATATCTTTCAGATGGCAGCTGGGCTGGCCTGTTTGCCCACTGTGGGAATGAGCGGCAAGGAGAGACATCCTGGAGATGCAGAGGGGATGGGGCACTCTCCAACTGAAGTCCTTGAGCTAGGTAAGCAGGACAGGATGTAGGGCTCAAGCGCAGGGACAACCCAGCCTCGGTAAGGAGTTGCTGTTAGTAGAGCAGCAGGAGGGCTGGGACTCAGCACCCAGCAAACAGGTGTCCAGTGCGTCTCTGATTGAGGAACGAATGCTGCTGGAACAGGGGCAGCAAACACCAGGCACGTAGCTGGATTACGTGACTGTGCTGGCTTGCTTCAGTTGTCAACTTGACATATATGAAGAAAGGGAACCTCAGCTGGGGAATTGTCTCTATCGGACTGGTCTATGGGCACATCTGTGAGGCATTTTCTTGATTGTTGCGTGATGTGGGAAGGCCTAGATCATGGCAGGTGGTGCCACTCCTGAGCAGGTGGACCTGGGTTATATAAGAAAGCAGGCTGAGTGCAAGCCAAAGGAGCAAGCTAGTAAGTAGTGTTCCTCCATGGTCTGTGTTTCAGTTCCTGCCTCTTGGCTCCCCTCCATGATGAACTGTGAGCTGTAAGGTGAAATAAACCCTTCCCCACCCCCAAGTTGTTTTGGTCAGCGTTTTATCACAGCACCAGAAAGTGACGAGGACAGTAACCTTCTTACCAAAGCCTCTTCCAACCCACAGAACACCTGCCATACCTTGAAACTATAAAGCACAGCCACATTGATCTCCATGACAGCCCGGTCTTTCCAGAGGGAGGCCAGTGTGTTGGTCTCCAGGCCCATCCTTCTGCCCACTTCCTACAAAGGCAGAGTGATGGGGTGAGGCAGTTTTAGGGACCCACCCACCAGCCGGAAGCCCCAGGTGGTGGTCTTTCTTTACCTCCAAGATATTGTAGCGCTGTGTGTCACAGAAGTCTCGTACTCCGATCTCCGTGCCCATGTACCACCCATTGAAGGGGCAGGCAGGGAACTCGAGGCCACCCACTTCCAGCAGCATGTTGGCCACAGCAGGCAAGGCGTACCACTTCAGCCCCAGCTCCTGGAACCACTCGTACCTGGTGGGGAGGCACAGCCAGCTCAGTCAGGGCCTTTTCTTTTATCCTCTCTCACCTCCTCCCATCTCCCAAATTAGCTTCAGTAAAAGAGTCAACAAAGAAAACTTTCTTTTTTATGTTTTTGAGACAGGGTCTCATGTATCCCTGTCTGCCCTTGATCTCTACGTAGCTGAGGATGGTCTTGAACTTCTGATCCTCCTGCCTCTATCTTCCAAGTGCTAGGAATATAGGCTGGCAGCGCCACACCCAGTTTATGCAGTGCTGGGGATCAAACCCAGGGCTTCACGCATGACAAGCAAGCACACACAACTGAGCCATATTCCCCGCCCAAGAAAAATACTTTTTAAGAGGTGATTTCTTAGTCTTCCCACCAGAAGAGGTGAACAGGGCATACTAGGTGTCATTCATTAAATAAGGCATCCCTTCACTCAGTCATTCATGCAAGCAGATACAGTATCAGATGGATGCCAGGCTAAATGCTGAGACTCCAACACAGTGCAGTGGCTAAGGACTCTGCATCAGAAAGCTGGGTTCTGCCTCAGCACTGAGTAGGGTGTTTTTAGCCTGAGCCTCAATATCCCCATCACCAACATAGAATCAATAGCATCAAATTCACAGGATTAGGATGAGGATATTCAGTCATTCTACAAATGTCTATAGCTAAGCACCTACTATGTGCCAGGCATCCTGTAGATGATAAGGGGGCTGTACCGATGAACAACAAAGACGAGATTCCTAGTCTCAAAGAAGTTACAGCACAGCGTATAGACTGTATATCATAAAGAGGTGAGCAACTACATCAGTAAGAAGAGACAGGGGTCTGAAGAGGTGGCTCAGCAGTTAAGAGCACTGGCTGCTCTTGTAGAGAATTGGGGTTGGGTTCTCAGCACCCACATGGCAGTTAATAACCATCTGTAACACCAGTTCCAGGGAGTCTGATGCCCTCTTCTGGCCTCTGTGGGCATTGTACAACACAGGTGCATTAATACATGCAGGTGAAACACTCTTACATATAAAATAAATAAAATTAAAGATTAAAAAAGGAAAATAAAAGCTGGGCGTGGTGGCACACGTCTTTAATCCTAGCACTTGGGAGGCAGAGGCAGGCGGATCTCTGTGAGTTCAAGGCCAGCCTGGTCTACATAGTGAGTTCCAGGACAGCTGGGGCTACAGGGAAACCCTGTCTCAAAAAGACAAAAAAAAAAAAAAAAAAAAAAAAAAAAAGAAGCCAACTGTTAGAAGCCAACCATTAGCAAAGACTGGGGGGTCAGGGAACTCTTCTCAGAGGCAATGGTGATGCCACAGGAAACATGTTTTGATGAGAAGAAATGAATTATATAAAATTCTGAGGAAAGGGCATATCAAGGAGAGGAAAGAGCTAATGCAAAGGTCCTGGGGCAGGGTTGAGTTTGCTATATTTAAAGGATAAGAAGAGCCAGCCCCAATGCCTGCTAGACAGTAAGTCTTCATGTAGCAAGGTAGTTTTACAATTATGAGTAGTTTCAGGAGCAGGGGTTCAAGCAGGTAAGTTCTTTCTTTAAAATATTAATTATCTTAATTTTATGTATATGAGTGTTTTGCCTGCATGTATGTAGGTGCATCACATACATGCAGTGCCTGTGAAGCCCAGAAGAGGGCGTCGGATCCCCTGGAATTAGAGTCTCTGATGGTTGTCAGCCACCATATGGGTGCTGGGGAACTGAACCCAGGTCCTCTGCAAGAACAACCAGTGCTCTTAATTGCTGAGTCATTTCTCTAGCCCCACACTTGAGTTCTTAAAGTCACTGTAGCCTATACTTTCTTCATCTGGGAGAGGGACAGCTAAGAGAGCTGGTGGGGGCCCGTGAGACAGAACACTGGGTAAAGGTGCTTGCCCTAAACCCTTATCACCTGAGTTGGATTCCTGGGGCCCACATGGTAGGACAGCTGACTCCCACAGCTGTCCTCTGATCTCCACATGTGCACCATAGTGTGTTTCCACACACATACAATAAATAAATGTAAAAATATTTTTTAAAAGAGTTGGGGAACTGGAGAGACGGCTCAGTGTTTAAGAGCATACACTGTTCTTCCAAAGGACCTGAGTTTGGTTCCCAGCACCCACATCATCAGGTGGCTTACCACCACCTATAACTCCAACTCCAGGGACCCTGACACCCTCTTCTGGCTTCTGGGGGCACTTGTACTCATATGCACATAACCCCATCCACACATATACAAATAATTAAAAATAAAATAAATATTCTAAAACTCTATATAAAAAGAGTTGGGAAGAGCGCATAGGCCTGGCCTGCTCAGACTGAAGGGTTCTCCTGAAGGCACCACTTCCCAAGCTCCCAAGGCCCTGTCTGTCTGGGCTGCTAGATAGGCCCAAGAGAAAAGCGCAGAGCTGCTGCAGAGGGCAAGGCAGGCCTTGCAAGTTCACTCTGTGGGCACTGCCTGTGGCTTTGGGGGGGACAAGGAGAGGCCTGAGGGTCAGCATCTCCCCATAACAAGTGCACACACATGACTTGCACTCTCCATGGCTTACTTGGGATGTTCCATGGACACCTCCAGCACAAGGTCAGGAGGGATTTCGAAGATCTCAGGGTCTCTGCCATCAGCCTGCAGGACCAGAGGCAGCACATCGAAGCGGCCATAGCAGGGCTTCCAGCCCAGATCGATGCACAACTGGGGGTGAGACACACCCAGTAAGTCTGTAAGCCCAGATGCTGTGCCTGCTTTGGGCCCCTTGCTGTCACCCACCACGGGGTTGGATCCCTGCCCAAAGGGCCCCAGCAGGGGCTGGGCAGATACCTGGGTAAACTCTAAGTTGGCAGGATCCCCTCTGATGGTGCCATCGGGCATCTGGTAGCCAGCATACCGGATGAGCTGAGAGTTCCAGATCCGGAAGTCATGTTTCCCATCACTTCGCTGGGGGAACACAGTGATGGTCGACCTACCTCAGGGTAGAGACAGTGCTGTTAACCAACTGGGCCTGGGGTGGGACAGGGCACCCAGCCAACTTCTTTCCAATCTTCCCACTCTACAGGCTCTGTGCCCCGTCAGACTGATATCCTGGTCTGACTAGGAACCCCTCCTCCTCCCATTAGCTCCTCCCTAGTCTTTAAGACCAGCCCAGGAACCTCCTGTCCCCGCCCCCGGGCTCTTGATACCCAGCTCTTCTCTTCCCACAGGTGGTGGCTGTTCGGTGCAGTTATGGGTTCATAGGCGGCTAGAACTATGGCCTGGGGTCTCAGACATGTGCAACCCACCCTGTGACCTTTATTTCCCTGGCCCCTGGTCTACTCCTGAGCTGAGCCCCTACTAGGTGAGCACAAAAAGGACTGAATGACAGAATGAGCTGTTCAGGCCTATCAGTGGGGTGAGTAGGGAGGGACAGGGAACATACAATACCCACACCAAAGACATCTGCTAGAAAACCAATGTCTCAGCTCTCCTAAAGTGTGGGAAGCTCTAACCCCAAATAGTGAAGGCCCCCCTAAAAGGTGGGACATCCTAATGCTGGACAGCAAAGAAGGACTTAAAAAAAAAAAACAAAAACCACAAGGTTCTATGTAGCCCAGACCGGCCTGAACTCACATCAGTTCTCCTGTCTCAGCCTCCGTAGGTAGAGAACACTGCTATGTGCCTCCATGTCCAGTTAGAAACTGGAAGCTTTCTTTTCTTTTTTCTTTGAGGCAGGGACTTATGTAGCCAAGCCTGGCCCTGATCCTCCTGCCTCTATCTCTCAAGAGTTTGGGTAACAGACATGTGTCACCTGGTAGAAGTGATTTTTTAGAGATCTAACTGGGGTTGGAGGGATGGCTGCTCTTGCAGAGGACCTGGGTTTAGTTCCCAGCACTCACATGATGGCTAACAATCACCCATAATTCCAGTTCCAGGGGATGGGATCCAATGCCCTCTCATGGCCTCCATGGGCACTGCATGCATGTGGTACACTCACATACATGCAAGTAAAACATTCATACACATAGAATTTAAATTAATTAATTTTTAAAAAGATGTAACTGCCTCATAGTTTCAAGTCAGAAATGAGGAACTGGGCCTGTGACAGAGGTTAAGCAGGAGGAGGTCACTCCCACCATTCGAAGTCACTGAAGAAGCCCTGTCTTGCTTTTTTTCTCTCCGTAGTGTCTTCTGGAGCTAGAGTTTCCCCCCTTCCCCCAAATGCTTCTACATCTTCTGGCTGAGACTATGGGTCCAGCACACCTGGAAAAGGTGCCTCACCTGATGTTGCCGCCATTGGTGGCATAAAGCACATGTCTGCAGATGTGTTGGAACATCTCCTGGGCAGTACAACAGCTCCGGGCATCAAAGACCTGCACACAGCCCACCCAGGCCACACCATCAAAGACTGTGAGGACAGAGACTGCGGGGTTGATCAGAAGCCCCTGGGGACAGAAAGCCACCTACATACCACCTTCTCCTCACCACTTCCACAGCTCCCATCCCCAAGCTGCCCTACCCACTGCTTCTCCTGGGTCAGGGGCATAGAGAACCCCATTCTGAAGATGCTAGCAAAACCAAATTCCAAAGAGTTCAGGGCTTTAAAGTACCACGAGGCAGGGTCCCCAGCCTAGTTCTTTGCCATGGGAGTATGTGCCAGAGTCACCGTTGAGTCTCCTGGATTTTCTCAGTCCAAGTACACTCAACAGAGCCCAACAACAAATAACCCTCCAAGGAAACCAAGGCCTAGGAGGCTAGGATAAATAAAACGTTCTCTAGGGACCAAGAACGCAAACAATGGAAGCAAACAGTATCTCTTGCTGCATCAAGGCCTTGGGAATGAAAAATCCAAGGTCATTGTTTCATGGTGGTGTGTGGCCTCCCAACTTTAACTTACTGAGAGTGGGTGGGCCAGCTAGGAACCCTGATACTGAAATGAGACTCTAGGCCCCTAGAAGGGGGCCTGGAGACCCCATCTCAGGGTTTGGCTTCCATCACAGCTCTACTGCAGAACCGGCTGCTCAAGGCTCATGGCCTGTCCACTCCCACACCCTCTTCTGCTCATCCCACAAGGCTCACCTGCAGGTTGGACCACTGGATCCTGCCGATGCAGCGAGGAGCGTTGCGCCAGGCCAGCTTGGTGGCAAAGATGAGTTCGTCATATGTTAGCTGGTAGGTTCCTGTTGTTTCTATCTCCTTTGTTATGGCTTCCACCCTGGCCAGATGTTCCTCTATTTTTGCCCTGAGGGACAGGAAGCCACAGGGAAGATCAACAATGAGAGAGCCTTACTTGGGAATTAATTCAATTCCCAGAAGCAGGAACTGACACTGGACACCAGATGGGTGAGCTGTCTCCCTTGAGACCCTGTCCCCTCCAAGACTGGCCTCAAGGCCCTCATTTAGCTTACTGGGGATAGCTCTTAATACTCTGCCATTACTGTCTTCAAGTTCTTAATCCTGTTGGAACAAGCCCACATTTGCACTTCTATACTGGACCCTGCAAATCATCGTTAGCATCATCATCATCACCATCTTGAGACAAGATCTTGTTGTGTAGCCTGGGCTGGCCTTGAAATTCTTATCTCCTGCCTCCATCTTCCAAATACATGAGATGTCAGATGCATGCCACCACAGGTAGCTTAGAAGGTACTGCGGTATTTGCTTTTCAGTCAAGAGATTTAAGGCTCTAGAGTGAAGTACTAGGTCCAGGGGGGCAACATGGTCACAAAGAAATAAATGAAGACGCAGACCCAGGTGGCCCTGCTGTTGGCCCCAAGCTTTTTAACTGAAGTAGATGGGACCTCCCACCTTCCACCCCAGGGGAGACTGCAAGTCTCCATGGTCCCTTAGAAGCCTAGGCAGGCCCAGACAAGACCCAAGGTCAAGGCTCAGCTTGAAGGGCCCTGGGGACTACCCAGATTTGCCACACTCAGACACTTAAGCATACTTCAAAAACTATCCCAAGAGGAAGGAACTCAGTTACAAAGACTTTGAAATAGACACACACAGACACACAGACACACACACACCACAGCAACCTTGAGATTGCCAATCAGCACCACCAAAAGCTTTTGAAATGGCAACAAACAAAACTATTTAGAGAATGAACTTGTGATTTAAGGCCAGTAGAGAACTCAGAAGGAAATGGCCTTTTGGGGCATGCAGAGGATTTTGGCAACACCTCCTCAATTACAGAAAGAGAAGACAAAACATTCAGTGATGTTCATCCTCCCAGACATCCCTGTCACAGGGAATGCTGGTGAGGTCCGTGCCCCTCATCCTCAAAAGATTCTAGAACTATCCTCCACTCTAAACCCAAGTATAAAAACAGCAGTGATCACGGTAACAACGAAGCCTCTAGCATCCAGGAGAATATCCACACATATGGGAACACACAAGAAAGACGACTTTTAAAAAGAATTTTTAACGTGAATGTATGTTTTATTGAAATGGGATCTCACTGTGTAGCTCTGGCTGGTGTTTGCTCCTCCACACCCGGTCATAGTTATACTTTTTTCTTTCTTTCTCTTTTTTTTTTTGGTTTTTGTTTTTTGTCTTTTTGAGACAGGGTCTCCCTGTAGCCCCAGCTGGCCTGGAACTCACTGTGTAGACCAGGCTGGCCTTGAACTCACTGTGTAGACCAGGCTGGCCTTGAACTCACAGAGATCCACCTGCCTCTGCCTGGGATTAAAGGCGAGCGCCACCACACCCGGTTTATGGTTACTCATTTTATTTGGACAATACAATGTTCTATACTCAGGCATCATGAGGTGTACCTGGCATTCCAGCACTTGGAAGGAGGATCACAGACATAGGCCAGCCTCAACTAGTTCATGAGACCCTGTCTCAAAAATATACAATGAGGGCTGGGTGTGGTGAGCCATGCCTTTAATTCTGGCACTCGGGAGGCAGAGGCAGGTGGATCTCTGTGAGATCAAGTCTAGCCTGATCTATATAGCAAGTTCCAGGCCACCTGGGGCTACAGGGGGACTCTGTCTCAAAAAAACAAATATATATATATATATGTATATGTACTTGTATGTGTATGTGGTCCTTGTATGTGTACTTGTGTGTGTATGTGGTCCTACTCCCCCATGAATAAATGTTTTAATAATTTTTATATTAATAAATAATTTCTATATTATTTCAATAAATACCTTAAATTTTTTTATATTATTTTAATAAATAATTTTTTGACAGGGTCACCCAAAGCCCCAGCCCACCTGCACTATGTAGAGCAGGCTGGCCTCGATCTTACAGAGATCTGCTTGCCTCTGCCTCCCAAGTGCTGAGATTAAAGTCATGCACCACCCTGTGTGGTGTAAATGTAAACATTTTTACATACAGTGACATACAAGGAAAAGACCAGTTGCATTTACCACAGAGCAGCACTGTTCTTAGCCCTTTATATTAACTTATCTAATCTTTATTGAAACTCCTACAAGGTGGGCATGTTAGTATCACAATTTTCAGGCAGGAAAATCAAGGTACAGAAAGATGAAGTAATCTGCCCAGGGTCATTCAGCTGGCAAAAGGCACAACAAAGGTGGCTGCCTGTCCCCTGGCTCTTAACCATGCTTATCATTGTACGTGTTGACAATCAAGCTGGCAATTAACAATCAAAAAAACTTTGCATTTCAGATTGGTCTGTTCTTGGTGCTTGATAGGCATTTGTTAATGGAGTGACTGACTAATTAGTGGCACTGGACTCACTGAAGTCTCACAGAGTAAGAAGACAGAGTAGTACTCTGGGAATATGGCACCCCACCATGTCAGATAGCCTGGACTGTAGGTAAACTAGATGGCATCAGGTCTGTCCCTGGGCATCTTGCTCATATCTATAGGAGGAGAGACCTGACCAGGTGGTCTCTAAGGTCCCCTCTACTGATCCATTTCAAGTCACAAGGCTCCCCTATGCTAGGACACTGTCCTAAACTTGCACAACTCTCATAGCACTCTAAAGAGCCAGGTTCGAAGATCCCTATTTTACAGATGGGGAAGTTGAGGCCCAGTGGATTTCCCCAGGACTCAAAGCCAATTACACTCTACTCCACACATTCAACCACTATTACAATGTCTAGACCTTATCCCTACATTTCAAGAACCTCCTCCAGGGCTTTTTCCTTTAGAAAAGGAAGCTTTAGGCCTGGAACCATAGCAAATCTGGGGAGTGCAAAGATCTGGGGTCAGAGGGTAACAGCTGAAGACAGGACAGCCCCAGGGAGAAGAGGGAGGTACCACCCTGCCAGGAACCAGCCTTACTCTTTGAAGGAGCCATAATACTGGTTGATGAACTCTATAGCTTGAGGTAGAAGTTCCTCCAATGAGGTGGGCTTGTCTCTGGGTCCTCTAGTCAAACTCCTGGAATTCATGATGGACCCCAAGCAAGATTTGGATCTGCAGGAGAACTCCTGGAAGGAGAAGGGGGTGGTGAACAGGGAGTGTAGCCTCTCACTCTCCTCCCCCAGGGGCCATATGCCTGGCCACTGCCTTCTCTGGCTGCACCACTTATAGCAACTCTATCCAGGCACCTCCTCCTTGGGATCTACCAGGCTTTCTCCCTGCCTAGATCCCCTTTCCTCTCCTGAGACCCATGGGTGTGAGCTGGTTTCTCTCTAGCCTTGCTCCCCAATTAGCTGTAGCCCCAACCCCAAACTCCACAGCTTGGTCCCTGGAACATCTACCTCATCTGCTTTTCTATTTTAAAAGGCCCAGCTGGCTCCTGTGGAAACATGGTTTCAGTATCAGTCAAAAGGAACCAGAATTATACGGGGAAAAATCCCCAAATCAGGGGGAGGCATAGAAAGAAATATCAGAAAGAATGACCAAATACTAACTGTGGTGATTTTCTGTTTTGTTTGGGGGATTTTGTTGTTATTGGTGGTTTTGAGAGAGGATCTCATATAGCCCAGGCTGGCCTCAAAGTCACTATGTAGCTGAGGATAATCTTGCCTCCTGCTTCTATCTCCCAAGTCCTAGGATTACAGATACACCACCACACATAGCTATCCACCATTAGTCTTGAAATTTTCCATTATTTCCTACTTTATAACTAAAGCATATAGTCTAAAGTCAGAGTAAGGCACTTAAAAGACAGAAAGGAACCTTAAGAGATAATTAGTCCAACCACTCACTGGATACTTGAGCCACTGTCATCTTCCTATCAAATAGTACTTGATTTTTGTTTTTGGTTCTTTTTTTTTTTTTTTTTTTTTTTTTAGATTTTTTTTGGTTTTTTTTTTTTTTTTTTTTTTTTGAGACAGGGTCTTCCTATAGCCCCAAGCTGGCCTAGAGCTTTGTAGACCATGCTGGCCTCAGTCTCATAGAGATCCTCCTGCCTTGCCTCTGCCTCCCAAGTGCTGGACTCAACGGTGTGCACCACTACACCCGGCTTCAAATGGCACTTGATTCCTTCCAGTGATGGGGGGCTCACTACTTTCTCATTTCATTCAGTCCAGCTTTGGGAAATTCTGTTACAAAACTCTCAGATATTCTGTTGAAATCTAGGAAAATATTAATTGGTTCTATAGTTGTTTATCTGACTTCCTGGATTATCCACTCTCCATTGGGGTGGTTAACAGGGACCTGATATCATTTACTTCCTACTGTAATATATGAAGACATATTCCTAGTCCCCTTTTCCCAAGATAACTGCCTAGTCTCCCTAGAGGACACATGAATCCACAAAGAGCCCTCATGGCTTCACCAGCAGGACAAAGGTAGTGTTTCCCCAACCCCCAGGCTTCTCACCGATGTGGCCTTGTGGTGAAGAGTGTCTTGCAAAATCTCTCCACTGCCCCAATTTTTGATCTTCATGTGCTGTGGACGGGTTGATGGAAGCACTTGCAGCTTTTCCAAGGATTCTGGAGCATTCTAAGAGGAGTAAACACCCAGCGTTTTCCAAATAAATGCCTGTAACTCTAAGTCTCCCCAAGGCCTCTAGGCCCTCTTGGGTGTTTAGGAATCTTTCTGTGGACACACAAGGCAGGGAGCCAGTCCCCAGCCTTCTGCCTTTCCCAGCAGCTGGGCCAGTGCCAGCTGAGTACTGCAGGTGGGTGGGATAGTGCCAGGCTTCTGTCCTCAGTGAGGCCCAGCCAGTGTAGGCTCATAAAGAAGATTGTAGTTAGACGGGAAGGAGCCCACCACCTCCAGGACCGCCCAGCACAGAAATGGAAAAAGAACAGATACACCACTGCTTTGCTTCCCCAGGACACCTTCTTTCCCTTCCATCTCTCTGCCACACCCTTGAGATGGGAAGGGCTTCAGGAAGATGGGACCCGTGTCCAGAACTGGGGGCTGGGACTGCAGGCTCAGTCACGGGGTCTGAGATTATTCTGGGATGTCCCATCCCTGGCTTCATGAATGGTTTTAAACTGCATCTTACCCATGCTGCCAGTCACTCAGGCAAACTACCTGGGTGCCAGTGCACGTTGGGGATCACCAGCTCAGACCATCAAGACTGCCCTGTTGTGTGCAGCCTTCTCAGCTCCCTCTGTACCCCAGGTCTGTGATGCTGCACTCTGCTCAGATCTGGCTTCCTGCACCCTCCTGCCCTGCCTCCACCTCCAAAGGGCTGTCTAGCCTGCACCTGCAAAGGAGAGGGAGGGGCTTCCCACACCGTGTGACCCACGAACCTGTGCTGTCCCAGTGAGGGGTTGGGGGTACCCATTTTGGTGCTTGGCAGGGCTGTGACTCTTGAGGTCATCCTGTGTTGTTGGGCTGTGAAAGGAAACAGCTGTCATGAGATGGAGTCTGAGAATGGGGGGATCTTGGGTGGCCTCTACCAGTCCCCCATTTGACAGACAGGGGCACTGGGGGACAGGAGTAGGAATGACCTGCTCTTGGCCTCCAGTCAAGGAGGATGCGGGGAGCCAGTCACAGAATCTCATCACCATCTTCCTTCCTCTTTGCTTTAACCACCCATTGCCAAAAGGATATGAAGGGGCTGAGCCAAAGCTTTTCAGACAACAACACACAGAAACTCTAAAAAAAAGGCCATCCCCCAAAAACCAGGGGCAAAGGCTCTGTCGGCCCTGTCCTCCCAGGCCAGCAGTGCACATTGCCCATCACCATTGGCTTAGTGACTTTCTCTCTTTTATTTAAAATGCTCAGTTTAGGGCTGAAGAGATGGCTCAGTGGTTAAAAGTACCAGCTGCTCTTGCAGAAGACCCAGGTTCAGTTGCCAGCACCTACATGGCATATAACAACCGTCCCTAACTCCAATTCCAGGGGATCCACTGCCCTCTTCTGGCCACCAAGAGCATTGTACACATGGGTATAATTACATGCATGCAGGTGAAACACTCATACACATAAAAATAAAATAAATCATTGATTCTAAAAGAATAAAGTAAAATGGACAGTTTAAGCTAATCCCAGCTCTTAGGAAGTAGAGGCAGGAGGATCAGGAATTCAAGGCCAATCTCAGCTACACAGCAAGTCCAAAGCCAATCTGGGCTATGTGAGACCCTGTCTACAAACAAATAAACAACAAACACTAAAACACTTAACTTGGCTTATTTACTTGAATTTTTTTTGAGACTCTGTAGACTACACTGGCTTCTAACTCATGGCACCCACCTGCCTCAGTCTCCTGAGTTCTGGGATTACAGACACAAGCCACTGCTCATGTCTGTAGTATAAGTGGATACTCTCAATATTTATCCTGTAAAATGTGAAAGGAACAAAAGATCTGTCTCAGAAGTAAAATGGAAATGAAACTAAAATAATTAGTGGAGAAGCTGCATCCACTGGCGAAGAAGCTCCTGCCACAATTCTGGCAGACTTGGAAAGGGTGAACCCCCAGCACCAAAGAAAAAGAATTAATGAAGATCAGACCACAGACAGGGTCATGGCCTCAACAACCCATATACTTCCATAACTTTTATTGCAGTGTATTGTTGACAGTTCTGTGCTACTAGCAGTTATCGTTGCTAATCTCCTGCTTTGCCTCATTTATAGATTAACCTTCATCATTGATAGTGTGCATTCAGAGATCTTTGTGGTCCTGGAATGCATCCCCCTGGATTAAAGGACAGCTGCAGGTGTCATGAAGCAACTTATATCTGAATCAAGTGATTCAGCAGGCCAGTAAAGGGTCTCACTATGTCCTGCATATGAACTAGAGATTCTTGGCTTGGCTGCACCTTACCCTATGCCCATTTGTATGCATCTTTGTATAATCCAGTTTTAGTTGGGCATGGTGGCGCAGGACCGTAATCTAAGAAGCAGAGGCAGGTGGATTTCTCTAAACTTGAGGCCAGCCTGGTTTACAGAGTGAATTCTATGCCAGTCAAGGCTACATAGGGGAGACCCTGTCTAAAAAAAAAAAAAACAAAAACAAAAAACAAAAAACAATTTGAGCCAAAATAAAGCAAAACAAACCAACCCCTGTTTAGCAAAACTGTGCCCTGATCACTCTTACTGTCTAATTAATTAGTCCTTTATCCCCCGATTTGCCTTCAGCAAGAATCTCCTCAGGTCAGTTCAGTTCACTGAGAAGCTTCTTTATCTTTGTCTATCAATTTGGCCTTGTCCGTGCTGTATTTGGAGCTGATCCCAACCTCTCTCCTCCATCTCAAGACTGCAGTGCTTCCAGTCACCCTCCCCTGAGGCAAAGTCCTCCACAAAGTCTTCCTAGCTTTGTATTAACAAATATCATTAAAGCAGATCTTGCTGACTCTCACCCAGTGCTCAGGAAGTGAGGATTGGGAGGATTATAAATTCAAACCAGCCTGACTCTGTAGCTCCAGCTGGCTTGGAACTTGCTATGTAAACCATGCTGGACTCAATCTCACAGAGATCCACCTGCCTCTACCTCTAGAGTGCTGAGATTAAAGACATGTGCCCCTATGCCTGGTGAATGTTTTAATTAAAAAAGTATTATTATCATTATTATTTTATTTATGTGAGTCTCTGTGTGTGTGTGTGTGTGTGTGTGTGTGTGTGTGTGTCTGCCACATGTGTGGGGGTACCCTGAGGCCAGAAGAGGATGTCAGATTCCCTGGAGCTAAAGTTACAGGTAGTGATGAGCCACCCAACTTGGGTGCTAGGAACTAAACTCCAATTCTCTAGAAGAACAGTACATTCTGTTATTATCCTATAAGCTGTCTCTCCAGCTCTGACCTTGAACTTTTGATCTTCTTGCCTCTACCTCCCATGTTTGGATTATAGGCATGTGCCACCATATCTGGCTGAGTAATTTTTTTCTCTAACACTCCCTTCCATTCTGAACTGTTGTGCCTCACCAGAAAGAAAAAAGAAGCCAAGAGAGGCTGGGCATGGTGGTACAAGCCTTTAATCCCAGCACTTTGAGGGCAGAGGCAGGTGGATCTCTGTGAGTTCAAGGCTAGCCTGGTCTACATAGCAAGTTTCAGGCCAGCCAGGGCTACATAGTGAAACCTTGTCTCAGCCCCCTCCCCAACAAAAAAACCAAGATAGAATAACCCAGACAAGAGCTGGTGAGATGGCTCAGTGGGTAAAGGCACTTGCCACCAAGCCTCAGGACCTGAGCTCAATCCCCATGACCCCTGGGGTAAAGGAAAGAATCAACTCCTGCAAGATGTTCTCTGACCTCCACATGTGTGCCATGGTATGTGTGTGTGCATACACACATACACACAAAATACATATAAATATAAATATACTTTAAAAAAATTTTTAAAGAGTAATACAAACATGAGACAGATGAACCAAGGCTGCATAGCTGGTGGCCTAAACAGGATGATATGGAACTAGAGGCCCCATAGAGGCAGCACCTTACTGCTCCTCACCATGACCCTTGTCCCTCACCTGCTCTGGCTTTGAAGTTTTGGACATAGAGTTGGACAGATCACAACATCTGCCGGGCTACAGTAATAGATTTGAAAACAATGTTATTGTATATTTAGGCACTTTCCCTCAATATCAAAGCATTTTAAATGCTGACTGAAAACCTACTACTGCTCAGATGGGCTAGAGTCAGCCAGACTATGACTGCATGCTTGTGTTGTGCCTAGTTTCTTGTAAATAATGCTTCAGACTGTGCATGTGCGCTGCTGCTGACTCTGTGAGAGCCTGCATGCAGTGTGCATGAATGTCCATGGATGCAAACTCCAGCAAGCCTGCAAGCACCAGAGGGAAATGCCAGGAAACCTTCACCATGATTAGGGTGAAGAGATAAGATTGGGTGCAATTCACATTTCTTTCTTTTTTAACTTCTCTGCATCTTCAAGTTTTAAGTGTATTTTTATAATTGAGATTAAGAAACAATTGTAACAATAAATAAATAGAGCTACACCCAGGCTCCTATGCCCTGCCACCACCAGCTAGCAGATTGATTGAGGCGACCTGCTAGGAGATTCAGGGAGCACCAGGTGAGCACCTTAAGGCCAGGGACTCTTGTTTCCAAGCTACTGCCCTGTGTATCTAGAGCCAGCAGCGGCTCTGGGGCCCCCTTGCCTTGCAGGGACCTGCTCTGACCCACTGAAAGAATGAAAGGCCTTAAGGACCGGTAGGCAAAAGGGCTCGCTCAGGCCCATAGATCCACTGTGATTGGTGTTCAGAGCTCAGAAGTCATCTGAGGCTGAGTTGGGGTCTGGAGTCTTGGTATGCTCCTCCCAGTCAGTCTACCTCTCCAAGAAGACCAGGAATGTCTTAAGTAAAAGAGCCTCTTTGCCTTCTTAATCATGTCTGTCTAGGGTGCAGGAAAGCTGGGGATTATGGCTCAGTGGTAGAGTGCTCGTCTAGATACGTTTATCCCCGTAACCACTAACTAACTAACTAACTAACTAACTAACTAACTAACTAACTAACTAAATAAATAAAAAAATAAAGTGATGCTATATGCCT